GTGAGAAGGGACTATTTAATGAAAGTTGAAAGGGGAGTTAACTTGTTAAAGAATATACATAGGACACATATGTTTCAGTGGGTTCCAAAGCAAACTGGGCCTATAAAATTATTTCTCGCTCCTTGGGAAACTCGTGTAGTTCCCAATAATATCTCACCCATTCCAAGCTCTTCTGTACCATCTAGAGAGCCCTGACAAACGGGAAAGCTCTATATAATTGTAATCATCATTAACGTAAACTGTCTGACAGATGCCCCACTTCTCTACAAAGTTGGGGACAAATGGAAAGGAATGGGCTTGTGATATGAAGACATTTGATAGTCCCTAGTCAGTAGAGGGGTGGCTCAGCAGGTTACAGTCCGAATTCATGGAATCTCATGGGGGAGCAGAAGAGGGAAGTAGGCAAATGAGAGCCGCTCTCCCAAACACAGTATCCACCCGCTGAAGGAGAAAAAAAGGCAGGTTAGAGACCAACATTTGCTGAGAAAAAGGTGTGTGGGGGGGGCAGACAGGGGGATGGGGGATGGGACATATTAGGCTGTTATTAGAGCCTTGTTACTCCAAGCTTGCCCCAGGCTGTGAGTTTTAGCACTCTTAAGTCATCCCAGAGAGTCTGATAACAGAATATCCCCCCCCCCCCGCCCTCCTCCTCTTACCTAAGGTTCAGCTTTGCCGCCCTTTGCTTTCAGATTCTCCCCCTGCCCCTGTGACCAAGGCCATGTCCCTGTTCATTATCTCCCCCTCCACAGGGGAGCATAAATGCTGTCCTCTCCTGCCTCCAGTCCCCTGTGGCCTTTCGTGTGTCCACTTTTGCTCACCACATCCTAGAACACAACGTGACAAAGTACTGCCGACCACACTCACTGGCACGATTCCCCAGCTCCAGACCACCGCTGCTCTTTCCTTTCAACACGTTTCTCTTAAGAAGCTGTTTCTGCCTCCCACCTTCATGTGGTTTGTAGCTTTGAAGCTTCCTAGCTTCCTGTCCTTTGAGCCATGAGTTACTGGAGCTTTTTATTCCGCTGGCTTTATTCAAAATAAATTTTCATAAAGATATAATTCACATGTCATAAAATTCACTCCTTTAAATGTGTAATTTGTGTTTTTAGTGTACTCACAGAACTGTGCAAACATCACTGCCGTCCAATTCCAGAAAAATTCCTGAGCCCAGTAGCAATCCATTTTCTTCTTTCCATCATCTCCAGCAGCCACTAATCTGTTTTCTTCCTCTGTAGATTTGCCTGCTTTGGAAACCTCTCATGAATGGAATCGTACAGCAGGTGACCATGTGTGCCTGGCTTCTTAGACTTGCCGTGTCTTCCAGGCTCATCTGCATTACTTTATTCCTTTTCATGGCCAGAAAACAGTCCGTCGTATAGACATAGCACATTTTATTTGTTGGGAAAGGGGTCATTGATACTTTTAGGCTTTCATTAACAATGTTGGCCATACATTTCCTCTGTACAGGGGTGGAGTTGCTGGGCTAGGTGATAACTTATGTTTACAATTTTGAAGAACTTCCAGAGCACTACAGCAGTGCTAGAGGAGCCGTTTTCCATAGCTTCTCCAACACTTGTGATTTTTTTTTCTTATATCCATCCTAGGAGATACATAGTGATAGTCCATTTCCATTTTATTTGAATTTCCCTAATGATTATGATGTGTGTTCAGCATTTTCCACATGCTTATTCATCAATATATATCTTCCTTAGAGAAGCACCTATTCAAGCCATTTGTCTCTTTTGAAACTGAGTTGTCTTTTCATGAGATGTAGTATTTCTTCATATAATCTAGAGACATTGTAAAATGATGTATGTCTGATGCTTGGCACCTAGAGAGTGAATATGGTAAACAGTGGCTTCTGTAATAAATAATAATAATAATAATAACCATTGTCCTGACTGTAAATGAGACGTATTCACAGAGTACTATGGCAGGAAAAAAGGAGGTGAGTAACTTTTGCATATCTACAGATTGGCTTCACATGAGACCAGCTACCACACTCCTTCCCAGGGCCTAGGAGAAAAGGGAATGCTGGGATAGGGTCCTGAAAGGCCAACTTTTGTAAGAGAAGGAAGGAGCTTAGGTGTGTTTGCTGTGGAAACAAATGTGTTAGGTCAAATGGGGTTTTAGGATTGCCATTCTGTGTTTCCTATCCCAGTCTGTCCCTAAGAATGGCTGCTTCCTTTGTTTGTTTATCAATTTCTACTGCTGTGAAGGGAAATTCTTACCTTTTATTAGTGCATATTAATTATACAAAATGATGGGCTTCATTGTAACTTTTCACATATACACATTACATACCACGATCATATCCACACCCTGAAGGGTATCTCCAAGGCTGCTTGTAAAAAGGGATCTCCATGCTTCTAAATGGACTGCATAGGTACTGGGTCTCAGTATCTTGATTAGCATGTAAGTAAACCTTAAAAATTCCCTTGTGATACTCAAATTGACCTTATAAGGCACAGAACCTTTTTTTTCTTTTTAATATATCTTTGTTGGGGTGGGCATGCTATCTTCCTGTGTATGAGCCTGTGTGTAGAGGTGAAAGGACAGCTTTTAGTGTCCACAATGTAGAGGTTACTTTTAAAACAATTAACTTTCTTTCCCTTATTTGATTCTAGCATATGCACTAACCACATTAACTATGGAAAGTGTGGCTGTGATGTATGCATTCTGTGCTCCACAGCACAGAAGACATTCAGTTACAGCAAACAATTTTAAGAAACTGGTTTCCCTAGATTTTCCATGATGTTAATCATCTGTTTTGTCATCTGCTAGTACATGTTAGCAGAAAAGTGAGAACAGGAGCCATAAGTTTAAGAAAAATGTGTTGGAAAAAAATTTTTTAATCATAAGTTGTACACATTCTAACAATTAGCATAATCTAATTTAAACTACAAAATACTTCAGTCCAATTGGGGAGGATACAGTTGTTTCACGGGTTCCCAGGATGACTTTCTAGAGCACCGAGGGAGGGTTGAAATATTAATTCTGGTTCTATTACTGCTAACAAGTCACCCCCAAAACAAAGAGAGAAAAACAATCCCCCTTTTATTCCACTATGGCCTCTATGAAGCAGGCCCTAAGGAAGGTACAACAGGATGACTTTTCTCTGCTTTACAGTACTCAGGCCACCACTAGAGAAGACGAGAAAGGCTGGGTCAGCTGAGACCGTAGCAGCCATTTTCAAGTGGCCTTGGGGTAGTTGGTAGACTTCTACAGCCAAGGGTATGGCCTTTTATCACCCAGGCTCGGGAGCATCAGGACAGACACCTCCAAAGTTGGACTGGTTCAAGCGGTCACAAGCCCACCAGGGTCTGGCGCAGACAAGTTAGCCACACCCCTCCATGGAGGCAGTTCCAGGAATTCGGCGGCCTTGTTTTTGAATCACCACACTTTTCTAGTTCCTGATTCCACGTGAGACATAGCAACTCTCACGTGAGCGCTGAGGCTAAATAATTTGCCCAGAGGCATTAACTGGTGTGACTAAAGCAGGGAAACTGGCTTCTGATCTCACTCTTCTCCAATCTTGCTCTTTCTATTAGGTTATTGAGTCTCCTTCAGCTAAAACATGCTTGTTAATGTGTGAAAAGTTCAAAGAAAAAAAAAAAGATGTAACCAAGTATGTGTATGTTAGATAGCTTCCCTAAAGAGAAACATACATATGGAAGGTTTTCAGAAGCAAGGAGAAGCGGGTGGAGGTGAGGAAGGATGGAGAGAGTGTGGGGAGCAGGTGCTGTGCTGTGGTAGCTGGTGTTGCTGCTAATGGCTCAGACCACAGGGCAGGGTTAACCATCTATTTCACACAGGTAGTACCCACAGGCCTGATTCAAGACACTACCAAGGTTGAGGTGGTACACGTGCCTGTTTCCTTGACCTGACCATTTTATATTGTGTAAATGTTTTCAAATGTCACATTGTACTCTATAAATGTGTCCAACCTATATGCAAACTAGAGTTACAAAACATAATCGAGTGCCACGTGGAGATGTTATGACCAACCACAGACTGTGTCGAATGGTCTTCTCATAAAATGGTCACCTAGTGATGTCATAACCATCTTAGTTTGCATAACTGCTGTCTCAGTTAGGGTTTCTACTGCTATGACGAAACACCATGACCAAGCTGGAGAGGAAAGGGTTTATTTGGCTCACATATCACATTCCATTGTGGGAAGCCAGGCAGGAACTCAAACAGGACAAGAATATGGAAGCAGGAGCTGATGCAAAGGCCATGGAGGGGTGCTGCTTACTGGCTTGCTTCCCATGGTTTGCTCAACCTACTTTCTTATAGAACCCAGGACCAGCAGCCCAGGGACAGCACCAACCACAATCACTAATTAAGAAAACGTCCTACAGGCTTGTCTACAGCGCTACCATATAGAGAGACCTTTTCTCAATTAAGGCTTCCTCCTCTAAACTGGGCATGGTGGCACACACCTGTAATCCCAGCACTCAGGAGGCAGAAGCAGGTAGATCTCTGGGAGTTCAAGGCCAGCCTGATCTACAAAAGTAAGTCCAGGACAGCCAAAGCTACACAGAGAAACCATGTCTTGGAAAAAAAAAGGGGGGGGGGGGGCTCTCTCCTCTCTGGTGACTCTAATTTGTGTCAAACTGACAGAAAACTAACCAGCACGGGTATACACTGTAACATTCACACAGTAAAACTGCCTAACAGTTCAAGTCTGAGAACCTACCCCTATCACTGAGCAACACAGGAATGCATTTCTTGTGAGTATCAGGCTTCCATTAGTAAGAGCTTGCACACAAATTTCCTATTTTCATTCAGACAATCCTGATTTTGGTCAGGCAGAAACTCTGTATCCTGTTTTGTTTTGTTTTGTTTTGTTTTGTTTTGTTTTGTTTTGTTTTGTTTT